GCTTTAAATGAAAACATCATCATTTTCCTCAGCCTCGATGGTTTCTCTGTCTTTTTAAATAGTTACCTATATTTGCTTCACTATTCTCTATCTCGTTTCAAGTTTTGTTCGAATTCAAGATTGTTTTTGTTTTCCTCTTCCTCGTCTTTTAGGCTATACTTTTTTTTCCGGACCAGAGGGTGAGGTAGGGAGGATTAATTCTGGAGTTAAAAGCACCATCTGCAACGGGACTCGAACTCTTACGATTTTGTTATCTCTACCTTCTGTTATCAGGTTGCCGTTCAACACGCGATGCTATTCACATGCGTTATCCCGCTCGGCCACCCTGGTTCCATTCGGAACGAAGATCGAATGGAACGAGAACTGGAACGAATTTCAGTGGTGGAACATTCTCTTCCGTTTCATTCGGATTTGTAGGAGGAAAAGTCTATCCCTAGTTATCACAAAAATTATATGATCAAGCAAATATAGAATTAAATAGAGAAATTTATTTTTATTTTATAAAAATATCTTAGTGTTAAGCCTCAAGATATAAATATAGAACAACAAAATTTAGGATTTTTTTTTTAAATTCAATTTTGAATGGTGTTAAAAAGTTGTCCAGCGAAAAAGTATTTTTCGCTCCACCATAATGTATACAAATAGTTCTATTATCCACTTAAATTTAATAGTTTTAAATCTGGAATGTAACTTCGAAAAGTTAATTATATATTTGATTACTTCTATATTAGCATATGGAATAAAATTATAAACGATCGCTTTCATGCACAACAATGGACAATAGGATCGCTAATGACTTTGCAAATGTGCACTGTGTATGAAAATTCTATTGCATACCCAGCTAGTGTGAATACTTTTTCTATGCCATTTCTACTGCTCTTTATCTTCTTCTCCTCCCTCCAACTTGCTGTTATCTCTGTGAGTATAGTCTCACAACAGTTATGTGGCATAAAATTGGAAATACCTTATTTTTTTAAAGTGAACTCAGGAAAGTTCAGGTACATTTATTCCCCTTAAAATAAATATAAAAACAACTATCTAGGTATATTTAAATTAAACAAAATTTGAATTATGAATTGTAATAATTCTCTCTTTCTTAAAGCTGGCTAATCATGTATTATTATGTATTACACATTGTTAGATGTATGAACTAATATTAATAAAGACATTGATAAAGACAATTTCTTTCTATTTTATGTGTTATTTGATTAGAATTTATTTTATTTTGTTATTATTTATTTTTCTTTTATCATTTTTTATTTCATTTTTGCTGAACTAGTATGTACTATCAGTGTTTTTATTTCCATTTTCCTATTACTAAATAGGTTACTTTTTTTTTTCGTTTTACTATAATAGAGTGAACATTTCTGAAACATACACAAATTCATATTTTTTTAAAAAATTGTTTATTGAGAAATATTACAATCTGTTTCAATTAAGGACACTTATAATAGAGTTTAGAGAGCACATTAACAAGATATTTACACAAAACATAAATAAATAAGGTAATAATAATATAATACATAGAAATAAGAACAAAATAAAACATCATAAGGGAAGAAAAAATATAAATAAGTAAAAATTACAAATATCAATAAAATGTACTTTAAAAAATAAAATAAACATCTAGACATAGACATAAATATATACATTATTTACAATCAGCTAGGGGAACTCCAAACCAGTCTTGTCCCCTTACTTGTGGAGGAAAAAGCGAGGCTCCAGGAGATCCCTGCGCTTCTATCTCAACCACCATGGTCAATAAAAGCCAGCAGAGGCTGAATAAGAGCGCTACAGCCTTAGACACTCGTCATATTATGATTTCTTGTATGTTTTTCAAAATTTTTAAATAACAGACATGATGTTTTCTTTCAGGGAATTGAATGAATTTGCATATTATATATTTCTGGTAACTAAATATACAAGTATATAATGGTTTTTATTGTTTTGTTAAATAGATCTTTTGAAAACTACAATCTATGAAAGTAATAATTATTTTCTACACAGCTTTATTAATCCAAACCAAAAATTGAGCTTGTTCTATTCCATTCTGCCTAAATAATAATAAACTTGTTAGAATTAACTACATTTTAAAATATAATCTGATAATAACTTTCCTAAATCACATGCTTTAACATTAATCAGAATTTCTGTGTATCGATTGTTTGTATTCATTTGAAAATATGAAGTGTTTAATTGCAGTGATTAATTTTAAAACATGTAATTTAAGAAATTTATTATTAGATTATATTAAAATAATATAATGACCTTTAGGTGAAATTCGAAATAGTTTAAACCATTCTAATAACCACTAATGGATCCTGATATATTTTTGGGAGGCCTTCAGCCCAAAAGCACCCCCGTAGATCACTAGCGGATCCAGGATTTAGTTTTGGGGGTGCTTCAGCCCGGAAGTTTTTTTTTTCATAAAAATAACGATAATTACTTTGGAAAAAAAGAAAGAAACTAATAACCTACATGAAATGGTGTTTAAGTGATTCCTAAAGCCCTTTTAAATGTAATTACACGAACAATAATACTTTAAGAGATACTTTTTAAATATTTTTTTCGATAAAACGTGGTTATATTTTGCCATTTTGGGGGGCTTCAGCCCGAAAGCCCTCCCTCCTCCCCCCCGTAGACCCGCCCGTGCCGTGGATCCACATGTGCTAATAACTATATAATCTAGTTAGTTAAAATAATAGTTAAAAACATCTCAGCAGCTCATTTTGTGAAATGAAAAATAAAGGATTATACAATTATTTATTGTGTACTATTTATAATATTATTTTTTATTGTTTAATTTTGTTGCATTATCTATTGTGTGTTGTTAGTTTAGCAGGGAGATGTTAAGATCAGCTTCATTATAACATATAACCACTAGCGGATCCAGGATTCAATTTTGGGTAGGCTTCAGCCCGGAAGCTTTTTTTTTTCATAATTACTTTAGAAAACAGAAAGATACTAACTACCTATATGAAATGGTGTTTAAGTGATTCTTGAAGTCCTATTAAATGTAATTAAACGAGCTCTAATACATTAAGACTTAATTTTTTAATATTTTTTACCATAAAACATGGATACATTTTACCATTTTGGGGGGAGGGAGCTTCAGCCCGAAAGCCCTCCCCCCCCCGTAAATCTGCCTGTGCATATAACCTAATAATATTTGTAACTTTCCTAAATAACGTGTTTTTAATATTAATTAGAATTACTATGTATTGATCATTTGTAATCAATTTAAAATAAAAAGTGTATTAATTCAAGTGATGATCTTACGTAACATTAAAAACAAACCTTATTTTCATTGTATTTGTTTTTGTGTATTATTTTAAGAAGGAAAATGTTTCTGTTTAATCATTATGACTAAAATATTGAGGTCGCTGTTTTTCGCCATGAGAAAATGTGACTTCAAAATAAAAAAAATATAACAACACAAAAAAAAAAATATCAGATTTTCCAGAAATATTTTGAAACATACTTGTTATAAACAAGTAAAATAATAAAAAAGTTTTGAATGGATTAGATGCGTTTGTTGTTAGAAAATGTTGCTATACCCCACAGTTCAAGTCCGTATGTCCATATAGGTGTCTTGTTTTCAATAGAAAGTTTATATTTTCTGTTTAGTAGCCTAAATAGTTGGCCGTATCTTCGGTTGAGTTGTTATCTTCTGAGTCTTGTATGTTGGTTCCATTACTCTTCAGTCTAAAAGAAAGCACCGGACACAAGATACCGGACTATGCCTGAGAAAGGCAGCAGGATGGAATTAAAGTGTACTGGAGGACAGGAATCGCATCGGAGTGTCAAGATAATATGTTGGCATTTGGATTCAATTACTTTAAAGCGTCAGTTATTGTTTTTGGTCAAGTGCTCCAGCAATCTAGTCAGTAACTCTGGGTAATTGGTGTGTAGTTGAATGAAATGTAGGAAAACCGAATTGATGGACAGGCATTATTTGTTGGTCCGTTAATATGTCAACCGATCTTTTGTATATTAATTTTTCGAAAATTTTGAAACATACTGGAAGGAAACTGATAGGTCAGATTGTAAATGTCTTTGCTCCTTTTGTGTATCATTTTAATATGTCAATAATTCCATTGTAGTCAGACTGTGAAAACGTTTTAGTTGTATTTGGAGGTTGTATGAACTAAGAAATCAAAAGTATTTTTCAGTTTTTAACATTATTAATTTTTAGCTTAATAAGTTCTAGAAATGTACATTTTTTATGGAGGCTGGGATTTTCTCCTTCCTTACATGTTTAATGTATAAAAATTGTAATATATCCAAATGATTTGTTTGCATACATACATTTATTTTTAAATATTCAATATTACATTTGTTTGTTTCATAATAATCATGTTGAATTTTACACATGATCAACCACCACTTTGTTTTTTTTTTCTATCGCCCACATCTTCCCAATCAAAATGGAAAATCTGCACCTATGGAAGTGGCTACTCTTAATTAATGGAAGAAAACCTGGTGGTTGAGTGTGATCTTGGTAAAATCATCTTACAGCATTATTGACGAAAGAACAGTATTTCTTACAGAGTACTGAACCCAAGACCCTTCATGGATTGTAGTGTTACAGTTTTTTTTTTTTTTTTGAATGATGAATCTTTATTTTCAATTTTTTTTTTACGGCTATTTTGGGACTAGAACTTTTTTCCTTGCAACTTTTCAAATGTTTTATAAAACTTATATTTTTTAAAAACTTTTATCCAAAAGTTCTGCATATGTTTTGCCAAAAAATTAAAAAAATTACTTTTATTCTTAACGACTCAAACAAATGACAATTCAGAATCTAGTAATTCATTTAAGATAAATTATACCTCTAATCTAAAATGAATTACTGTTTATTTCTCATTCAACATAAGTTTTTTAAGAACTTAAAAAATAAAAGTTAAACTTTTACTTTAAACCTTTAGCGTTATTAAAAAAAGGTTCCTTAGAACTTTTATTTTAAAAACTTCTTTTCCTATAAAGGTTCACAGAAACAGATAAAATGGAACTTTTTAAAAAAGTGCTGTAAAATTTCAATTCATTTATTGAGTATTACAACAATCTGTCAATTGGACATTAGTTATATTGGGGTAGGATAACATTCACACTATATGTACAAGAAAATATAAAATTAATTGAAGCAAAATAATAATCGAAAGGTATATACAATAAATAGAATAAAATAACTTAAAAATAAGAAAATAAAAACAAAGCAAAGAGCACATGCATACCTATATACACTATTTACAATCAGGCAAGGGAACTCTGAGACAGGCTTGTTTCTCCAACAATGGAGGAAATACCTGACTCCAGGAGAACCCTGTGCTACTCTCTCAACCCCAACACTGTTAGTAAAGCCAGCAGAAATTGATCGAGAGCACTTTATCCACATACACTCATGTCTTGAGTGGAGAATCTGGCCATTGCTAGAACTCCAATATATACAATCTACAAAAGGTAGCTGGGCCACTGTTGTTTCAGCCTTCTTCAAGGATTATAGGGATGGGTAGTGCTTGATGGAGATTGTACAAGAGGATTTAGATAATACATAAGGTTCCGGTGATATTTGGAGAATTTTTCTGGGATAAAGTCTAGGACAAATGGGATGTTGAGGTCATGATGTACGGTTTTGTTGCTTACATAGAAAGGAGCATTGACTATTGTTCAAAGGACTTTTGACTGGAAGGATCTAGTCCGTAAGTCCAAATAGGTTTCAGTATTGTCTTGTAGATCAGTAACTTGTTTTCAGTAGAAAGTTTAGATTTTCTGTTTAGTAGTCTGTATAGTTGGCCGTATCATTGGTTAAGTTCCTGTCTTTTAAGTCTAGTATGAGGGTTCCACATTAGTCATTTGTCTAAGAGAAAGCCAAGATACCAGACTGTATCTGAGAAAGGAAGCTGGATGGTGTTAAAATAAACTGGTGGGCAGGATTTACGACAAAGAGTGATGGTAATGTGTTTACATTTGGATTCGTTTATCTTAATGAACCATTTCTTACACCAGTGTTCAGTCAGAGAGAGGTACATTTGTAGGTTTCATTACACTGTTTTAGGATCTGAGTTGGTTGAAAGGATAGCAGTATCATCAACGAATATTGCCAGGAGGGTATCGGGATGGGCAGGAATATCTGCAGAGAAAAGAATGTAAAGGATGATATAAGAAGGATAAATAAGGGAAGCAAACCACTGTCCTTCGGAACTTCCGCCTCTATTAACTAACAGTTGGAGAATTCAGTAACACAGCGAACTTGAAAGGAGCGGTCAGAGAGGTAGGATCGGAGGATTAGATATAAGGACTGTGGTAGATGGAATTTGAGTTTGAAGAGCAGTCCCCCGTGCCATAGCCGGTCAAAAGCCTGTGCTATGTCCAGAAATACGCCCGGACAACATTCATTTCTAGGGCTGAGGATATATGGCCAACGACTCAGAATCCTTGTTGAACATTGGAATGCTGCAAATGAAATCCGAATTGATGGGTAGGAATTTTATGGGATTCTATTATGCGTAGGATACTTTTCAGTAGAATATTTTCATAAATTTTTAATAGGATTGGAAGTAGGCTAATTGGTCTATAGGATGATGTATTGTTGGTAGGTTTGCCTGGTTTCAGGAGAAGGACAATGGTGGAATGTTTCCATAGGAGAGGAAAGTGTTTAGTTCTTAAGATGCAATTATAAATATATTTAAGGAATATGATAGCTTTGGGTGGAAGTTGTCGAAGGATCTGTGAGGTTAGGAGGTCATGTCCATGAGATTTAACGGGAGTGGTATTGCGTAAAAGGTATTTGACCTCAGATGGATTAAGTGCTTTAGATGGTAAGGACAGTGGAATCGATGAAGAGAGGAATTCTACTTTTATGGTATGGGTTGGATAGAATTCTGGATGAGGAGTGAATATACTGGAGAAGTGTCTGGTGAATTCCTCAGCTATTTCTTCATCAGACGCTGCCCAGGAGCCATCGCATCAACGGAGGGAGGGGGAGTGGGAAATGTTTTAGAATTTTAGAATAGAAGGGGGGGGAGATTTTAGAATTTTTTGAGTAGGGAGGAAGAAGGCTCAAACTTTGGGAATTGAGTGCAGACAGCTAGGATCTACCACGAGAATTTGTGGTTCTTGAACTCCATTCTTGCTGCTTGGCGTTTAAATCTGCACCCATAATAAAAAAAATCAACTCCTGTTTACAGCCAATAATACTATCCTCTGTAACTTTGTCTGGTATTTCGAGTCTGCTAACTTTGATTTCCAGTAGTTCTTCTTCCATTGCCCATAATTTCAAATATTTGCTAATAGAGTTCTTTCTCCCCTTCAAATAATGAATAGGTCTGCCCACAGTATGCTTTTATTGTTGATAAGATTCGTTGGACTTATGCTTCATATTTTGTATAGACTGACATTTAAGAAACAGAGAATTAGAAGTAAAAAGAATATAAAAAAAAAAAAATTAAGGATTTGCCAAAATGAGAATATCATGGTAATATTATAATAACATATTTAGATGATATGTTTTAACAAATGAAAAACAATCTTGTTAAGCTTCTTGTTACAAGCAATGCTTTAGATAATTTCCTTATTGCTAGTAGTAGCAGTTAAAATATAACTTTCTAACAAGTAACTTCAGATGAGATTTGAGTCAGAAGAAACAATAATAAAGAATCTGTCTATTAAATAATAAAATATAAAGTTGTATTATGAAAAAAATTAAAATAGTTTATTAAAAACATGCAAAAGGTACTTTTAAGTCTTCTTGGACTAACTTCAGTGAGAATTTACACTTTTGGGTTCTTCTTTTGTCCAGTAGGAATTAACATACATAGGAATCCTGCCACTATTTGAAAAAATAAAAAACATTGAATGAAAATTAACAAATAAATATTTATTCTTTTAAAGGCTATTTGGGTTATGTATATTTTTTAAACATTTATTTTTGTTATTAATTAAATAAATAAAATAAAATACCTGTAACTAAAGATATCATTCCAAAATATCCTGCTCTGCAATGGTTTTCAAATAGAATACCCAACAATTGACCACCCATGGTAGATCCTAACCTTGCAAACGTCATCGTTAGTGAAGCAGCATTAGACCTGTATGAGTTAATTGACATATTTAATTATTCAGAATCAGTCATAATGTGTAATGAAATAATCATAATCTAATTTAATATATATTTTTTAACCTAATTGAAAGAAATATATAATATTCATTATATCAGTGGTTTTTTAAAATTGTTTTATGGCTTCTTCCTTATTATAGAATAGCAGCTACTGAATAGGCAGAGCTACTAGTTCGTGCCCTATTGCCAGAGGGGCCTTTAATTCTGGCATTAATCCCCTACCCCAAAAATAACCTGTAGAGCCTAAAATGCGAGGAATGGGAATAAAAAACAAGAAAGAAGAAATGATATGTTATGGTGTAGACCAGAACTTTCTCCCGGGGGGCACTCTTGAACTAATTGCCGAAAGTGCCAAATGTGTAAGAGGTTTCTGTCTCATATCTTTTAACACAGACCGTTGCATTATAAAGGAAGGAGATGGTCCGGGGTGGCGGTCGTAAATAGGCTAAATAGTGATGAAACTAGTTTATTAAAAGCCAACGTTTCGACCCGACTTTGCAGGTCTTCTTCAGGGAGGTGTGTTCAGTTGTAAGCCAAACTCCTAGGGGAACACACCTCCCTGAAGAAGACCTGCAAAATCGGGTCGAAATGTTGGCTTTTAATAAAATAGTTTTATCATTATTTAGCCTATTTATGACCACCACCCTGGACCATCTCCTTCATTTAAATAATTATCCAGTTATCAATAATTTATAAAAATATAAAAGCAGACTCACAAGAATTGGCTCAACTATAAAATACAATAGTCTCTAACAAAAACAAACAAATATAGGAGAGAGGGGGTGATATAGCGGAAATAGAGATTAGTACAAAGTTCAAATTCTGATACCCAGAGGCAAAGTGATAGTGAAAAAAACATTTATTTCAATTATTTTTATAAACAACTAGAGGTTTTCATGCTGATATCTTCGTAATGGTCCAAAATAATTGTATAAGATAAATATGACAGCCATTAAAAACTTTTTTATATAATAGAGATTTATTTTAATCAAGTGACAAAATGTTTATCACACAGAGTTATGACAAGAAGGTGGTTGTTGGGGAAGTGTTTTTGATTATATATAACAGATAGCAACTACCAGTTACATTAAAATATTGTGTATATAAAGACAGAATTATTCCTAATAACATAATAAAATAATTGTAATGTTGCAATAATAAATTGTCCTCAAAGATGGGTCAGAAACATCGGACTAGAGTATCATAAAAAATATTTACCAATGAAGGAGATGCCTTCAATCATAAAAACCTAAGAACCAATATAACTTTTCCTCATAAATCATACATAACAAAATAAGTAAAGAGTTTGCAGTTCACTTGTACATTAATCTACGTTGGAGTTAAATTTATCAGAACAATTTATGAAAATTTTATAATATAAATATATATATATATTTCTTATTACATGATTTAATTTAAATTTACATATACTCCTCAATTGCCAAGCTGGAGAGAAACATCATAAATAAGTCTGATAAAGGACCAAAGCCAATAGCAAGAAAGAATAAGCAATTATATACAGGAATACAACATATTTTTATTGAATTTGATCTCACTCCTGTAATATTGAGCTTCAATTCAAGTTTGATGTCATTTCAATCGCTTTAAGTCCATAGCTCTAAATTGGCTTTAAAAATAATTTCCTCTTTACAGAATGGTGATCTTTCAATTTCAATAATTTAGTTCTGATAACAGTGAAATTAGTCAATACTAATTTTAAAAAAAAATATAATAATTTTCTTTTCCTTTTTACACCTGGTTAATCTAGCGAGTGGGGTTGTACTATAAATAAATTGTTAATATGGTACATTTATTGGTACCTTAATTGTGTAGGAAATAGTTCAAGTACAATGCTGGTGATTACAGGAAACATTGTGAATAGAAGAACAGTCATAGTAGCAAGACATAATATGATGAGATAGTGTGATGTCAAAAAGAGGCATAGAAAGCATACTCCTGCAGTCAAGAATGAACTGACAGCTGAAATTAAGAATGAGTGATGTTTACATGTTTTATTATATACTGATTACTTTAAGAAACAACAATTTAATTTGTGAAGGGACAAAATGACTTACATATTAATATCTTTCGGTTTATTTTTAATGCCCATTGGCCAACGATGAGGCATGTGACCACTTGAGCTATTCCAAGAAGGATTCCAGCAGACAAGAAATCATAATTGATATCACAGCCAGAATTCTCTGAAGCCTTACTTCCTTCCATGAGATCACAAAGTGTAACATTAAATATATCATTGGATTGGTAGTATTTCATTATTCTACTGGTCTGATCTGGGAACCACATAATTAAGGTGTTGCACCTAGTATAAAAAAACAAAAACAATAATTATAATTGTAATAAAATATGTTTATTGATTTATATGATTATTTAAAAACTAAAAGTAATTAAAGTTAATAAAACAGTTCCTTTTTTTTATTCATAAGCCGACCCTTAATGCATTATCTATAACCTCAGACTTTCCCAAGGCAAGTTGAATTAAATAAAATATGGAATCATGTCCACATTTGGTGTTAACATGTTTGTGCATGGTTCCCTTTGTTTCTGGTTTGAAAAAAAAATACAAATGTTATTTTTGGCAATTATTTTTAACAAACATGGACATTATCTATTGGCTAAAAAAGGAAAAGAAGCTTGAAACCAACAATAGTTTGCTGCTATAATCCTGAAGAAATAAGAAATTCTTTCCTCAAGAGCCTATGTGTTTATTTCTCAAAGATGGAAATGGTTTCAACACAACTAACAGGTTTTTAAGTTATGTATATCTCAGACAGAGGTATGATAAAATAAGCACCAATGGGAAGTTTCCTCAGTTGGTTATAATATAAATTCTTACCACTTTTAACAGCAAATTGATAACAGCAATGACACTCATGAAGTTATTAACACTTCATGAGACAGACGTATCTCCTTTAATTTTCATTGAAACAAATAGAAACTTAATGAGCAAAACATGTTTGTATACTGTAAATGTAGAGTTTTAAAAAAAATATGTGACTTTTTTTCTAAATGTAAAACAAACCTTAAAAATCTAAATTCAGTAATAAACCATGACATCTGTGAGTTCATTTTTCTTTAAAATTATAAGTTGGCTACAATAAGATCATTTGGTATCATGTTTATAGTCAATTTCAAGATTATTTTACAATAATGACATCATTGGTAAGATATTAAAAGCTATTCATTAAAAAACTTTAATTCTTTGGTATGAATGATGATATGAAGTAACATCTATTTAAAAATGCCCATAAATTAACCAGTAACTTAGAAAATCTTTAATCGGTTATTTAGTGCATTCTATTATAATTATTATCAATACATGTTTCATTCTAAACAACAGATATTCAATAGCTTTTGTAGTCATAATATTTTTACGTTCACTTATCTATAGATGTAATATACAGAAAGACAAGAGAAAATATAGCGATCACTATCATTTTTGAACTTGGGATTTTAAAAGAAATATACATTTTGAGAACAGACAGACTATCTCAAAAAGAAAATGCTGTATAAGATTGAAATTATGTATTTAAGATAGGTATATGGCTAGGATGTTATAAAAACTTTTTTCCCAGATAATCATCTTGCTGGAAGTACCACTTTATATCATCAATTATACACATTTTTACAATTTTCTCAAAAACGGATCTAACAATTTTGCTTTAACACGGTATATCCATTTGCAATTAAGTGGTCTTTAATTTCAGCTAGGTTTTATCCTCATTAATGTTGCCTAACAGAGCTTAAATGTGTACTGTTCTAAATGCCTTGCTCTAAAGTACCTTTTATTTGTTTCATTTTAAATAATTAACTGTCTCCTGTTGTCAGCAGTAATAAAAAAACGCTCAGTATAAAGTATGAAAAAATTTGGTGATTGGCTAAAGGAGAAGGAAAAATGCTTTTTAGGTTGAAAATGAATTACACGAAATAATAGTCAGAATGTCTGTGTACAATATATATCGTTAGGAAGCTGAGAATTTTAGAAAAAACAATACTAATATATAAAGTCATAGATCATAATGGAGACGAACAAAAAAATTATAGAAAAATAAATATTATTTAAAGGAAATTATGTTTCCATGGAAACTAAATAAAATTCCTGAAATAAATATAAACTTTTAAAATTATAGTTTATTATTAGATAATTAATAGTAATTAACAAAATTTTTAAACTCATTTATATTCCAAAAAACATAACACATAAAAATTAAAAAACTTAAGTTACATCAACATATATTTATTTTGTAACATTTAGTTTTTTTTGGCCATTTACAAACAAAGGCTGAAAGGTTTAAAAATAAATATGTTTTTAAGTATTGTTTTTATTTATTGTTTATATTTTTAAGTTGATGTATTCATATAAAAGTTTTTTAATTTTTATGTGTCATGTTTTTTGGGATATAAATTGGTTTGAAAAAATTTGTTAATTACTATTAACTAACTAATAATATATTAGCATTATTAGTTACCAAATTTTTATATAAGATATATATACTTATGTAAAAAAATGAGTTAACAATTTAATGATAAAAAAAAAAATAAAAAAATAAACTATTTTTAAGTTTGAACAAAAGTATATATAAACCACTGAATCGAGGTTATGAAATTGCATTATCCACTAACAAATAGTATGACATCTTTTGATTTAAGGGTACTGTATTGAATAGCTCATAACTATATTTTGATAAATTTTACAAGGGAAACATTTTAGAGTTTAAATAAATGCAAAAAGTGTTGCTATTTGATTTAATACCTATAATTGTTTACTCTGTAGTATAATAATAACATATACAGATTAAATATATGTACTTTCAAATCTTCCTTTGTTTATAGAGCTTAGAGACTAAAGTTATGTCGTTCAAACAGACTAATGTTCTCACAAGATTTTTATTGCCAACCATTGATATAATAAATAGGGTTTGTTATATAATGCTTGTTATTTTAATGGTCTTAATGAGTCTTTGTATTTATAAATGACTGAAATTTACAAATGTGTTCTTTAAAGTTTAACTCCATTAAAAATTCACTTCAAAAACTTTATGTAAAAGCCCGATTTCGCAAGGAAATAAATAACTGCTGTTCAACGTAGAGCAGTAAGTGAAGTAAGTAAAATGTGTGCATAAGATTTTTTATGATATAAATAAATTTTAAGCCCATAGTGACCAACAATTATTTTAATTTACCTTCATTTATTATTCCTTACTCCATAAAAAATCCATCTAGAGACATTTCAAAGTACAAAATTATCATGCTTCTTCATTTTATTTATCTCATTTAATTCAATAAAAATAGTTGCTAATATGGTAAATATTTTTGTCATCTTGTCTGATTTAGTTGGTTATTTGTGAGTGACTGGCTGACTTCAATCTATAAAAATATTCAATAGCTGAATAGCACTGGCTTCAGATTAATTGATGGACTATAATAGTTGGCACACTTGGGCATTTTTTTGTTTTGTCCTCCCCTTCCTCACCTTTTAAGCTATATGGGATTTTCATGGGCCAAGAGGTGAGGCCAGGGATTAATGCCAGAGTTAAAAGTGCCTCAGCACTGTGAGACGAACTTGTAATTATCTTATCAATTTATCTTCCCTCAGGTTGCTGAGCAATGTGGTGCTGTGCACAGATGTTAGCTCACCATAAAATATCTAAATGGTTCATGAGTTATACACTCAAATGAATACATGCAATTTGGCAGAATCACTCCCAAATTAGGAACATGTTAATGATTCTCCTTCATTTCTTAGATGTTAGAGAACCACTTCTTCTATTAGGTTGCCGAGTGAATGGTGGTGCTGTACTGTGTGTTAGCTCACTCGGCCAACCCTCCCCCTAGGACACTTGGGAAATGTCAATGTACTAATAATAAAAAAATAAACTAAATTTCTCTAAATAGGTAACACTATAAATAATCTATTTAAATGTATACTAACGATCCAACTAGACTGAAGAGCAAAAAACAGGACAGCAGAGTGAAAAATATGTATTGTTTTGTGAACAAATCAGCAATATCACTCATCATTTTCTTAAAATATTTTATAAATTGATTACCATCAGCTCCAATCTTGCTTCTAATTTCATCATCTGAATTTAAACACAGACTTGATATCTGTAAATCAAAACAACTTTATTACATCATTCTATTCAATACGATTTTTATAATTATTGAGTAAAGGATTTAAAAATTAAGATTTTTGATTAAAATTTAACATTTTTTGATGTTGAATAAAATATACCAGTATTTCTTAACCTTTTATCGCTTAACATTCCCTTGAATCTAAAAATAATTTCTTGCACTTCATTGAAAATCATGATCAAACTATTTTGAATTTGAACTTGCATTAATGAATAGAGTAATTATAAAATATGTTTATGTCCACATTGCCAAATTAAAGGAAATGCAACAAACATGAATAATACTACATTATTAATTAAACTAAAGAAAATACTTATTTTATTGACAATATTATGGTACCTACAGGGAAGTCATTTTTGCTTTTTTTCTGGTTAACTGCATACATACATCTGATTATTTCTAAAGTCTCTTCATGTTTTTCTACAACATACAGGAACTTTGGAGTTTCTGGTAATTTAGATAACAGTAGCGTAGCTATAGAAAGTGGAATTAATTTCAGTAAGATATAAAGACGCCATGATGTAAATACCAATTCCCCATAGATAGGTATGTATATGTCTAATGGTAAAATTATCCAGGCCATAGCTGAAAAAAAGAAAAAAAATCTTTTACAGAAAAATACAAAAGTGATTTCTAGCTTGATAAAGTCGTTTGCCAACTATTATAGTCCATCAATTAATCTGAAACCAGTGCTATTCAGCTATTGAATGTTTTTATAGATTGAAGTCAGCCAGTCATTCACAAATAACCAACTAAATACTAATTTATAATTAAAAATTAATTCTTTTTTTTTTGGGCTACCTCTCGGAGTCACTTGTTTTGTAGGAAGGTCAACGTTTTTCTAATATTTGATGTTCCATTAAAGATAACATGTTCAAAGATTCTGAAACAGTTCATAGCCTGAAGATGTCTGAAAAAAACATGATAAATAAACTTATTCAGACATCATATGGGTGTGTTGAGGTTTCAGAGCAAGGCTTGTTAAAAAGATCAAGAGATTGGAAAGCAATTGTACTATCTCCTTCAGCAGTTTGATTCTCATTAACTAATTCTTGTGATTTTATCAAGGCAGGACTATTTATTTATTTGATATTTTGTTGCCTCTACCCTGCAGGGTCATTGGCAACACCTTTAAATTACACTCTGTTGTAGAGTTTTATCTCTTTTACAAACCTTAAAGTTTTTATGACTGCACTTTCACTGTCTTGTAGATTTTGTTTTAGACTCTTTGCCATGTCTAACTTTTTCCTTGTATGTTCAAATGAAGGGGAGTCTTGAATAATGTGCTTTAATGTCCTTTGAAAGGCAGAATTAGAGGAACTCGATTTTCGCATTCCGGGCATCCATACTGTATTTCATCCGAAATTCAAGACCCCATTTTCAATATTTTTTTCAGACCAGTTGACCAGGTTAGACCAGTTTCAGAGAAGTTGAATAGAAGTGCGCATACATTTTCTTTAAAATATTTGTACTATACAAAAATAAAAGAAGAACCAAAACAATAGAATGAAATCCCACAACATAGGTTACATCAATCTTATCTGCACACAAGGACTTATTGTAATTTGAAATCAAGGTGTGTAAAGTGTGCAGGACTGCACCTATCATCACTCTGTAAAAAACCTACGTCTAAAAGAACATACGTCTAAATTTGCTTTTTGTGAGGAAGCTTATCCTGAAAATTACAGATCATGCTCAGTCACAAGGAACTAAAAAAAATTCAACAACACCCACCTTTCAGAAGCATTGAATTTTATGAAGGTAATGGAGATAAGCTGCAGATAGAAAAAGAAATACACAAAGTTACCAAATTCCAGAATGTAATGAATACTTTTGAACCAAGAGGTAACCCATAACCTGATTTACACATACCTTTCCCACATTACATTCTACATAATCAGATATGAAGACAAGAACAGATGACAAACCTATTAAAAACCTTTCAGCAAATGTTCCTGACCTATCTACTTAAATGACCAACTTCATAAATGACTTAAAAAAACTTATCTCACCACTAATAGCATTATTCAAATCACTGATGAAGGAGGTTCTTCCAATGCTTAATAAATGAGAGATTTATAAAATGCTTATAATTATAATGCTTAACTCAAAGCTGTTGGTTGGAGTGCCAATGGTTTACTATAACATGAAAACAAACTAGAAATTTTTCTTACCAAACATGACATAGACGTCATTTTACTAACTAAAACTCACTTTGGATGAAATATACAGATTAACATTTGGGGAGTGGGGTAGGTCAGTGGTAGGGCGATAAGCTTCCAATCATCACGGTCCCAAGTTTGAATTCTGGTTTATGGCATATAAATTAATTTATTCTGTTTCATCGGCCATGGAAAGTGTAATACATTCTTTTGAAATATTGAAACATATTCCAAATCATCAATTTAGCTTCAGGAACCACCATTAAACTATACAAGGGGTCTCCAAACTTGTTGGTCCATGCGCCACATTGAGACCTCCACTAAGTCTTGCAGTCAATGGCTTGTGATAAAAAAAACAAAAACAAGCTTGTTCAAAAAATGTATGAATGTTGTAATTACTTCCTATTCAAGTGATATACTAAATTTCATATCTTTAATATATTTTTTTAAATGTTACCATTTAATCAAAGAAACTTTTCCAGGCAGTAGTTTGGAAACCTCTGACCTATACAACAATATCATCAATAAGTAAATTACATTTCCAGTGCTTTAGCTAGCTAACTTCATGGTGCTACAGACCAGTGTGGTCCTTGGCCGCCCCAATGAGCCCTCGCCAGATGGCTCTATCTTGAGCAGTCGCTCTCCAGTTGTGGGTATGCAATACTTCTCTGGTGTCCTGGATGACGGCATCCCATCTCCCATCTTAGACATGGTCTGCCTTTCCCTCTTGTCCTGCAGAGCTTCCTGTCAAGCAACTTTCTTGGGAAATCCTCTTCTGGCATTCTGGCCACATGGCCAGCACAACAAAGTCACCCTAGCTTGATGCTCCTCAACACATCTGTCTCACCATATAGATCATATAGGTCCCTGTTAGTCCTCCTTCTCCAATCATGACCGACCTTAACAGGTCCAAAGATATGCCGAAGGATCTTCCTTTCAAAGAATAGTAAATATTTTTCTTCTTTACTAAAGAGGGTCCAGCTTTCCGATCCATATGTGAGAATAGGTATAATGAGGGTCTTATATATGAGGCATTTGGTTTGGCGGAAGATGGCAGAGCTTCCAAGGTGTTTGCTGAGGCCAAAATAGCAACTGTTTGCTTTTATTATTCGCTGGTCGACCTCCAAGGATATTCTATTTCCACAGCTTCTAATAGCTCTCAGATAAGTAAACTGGTTTACAATGTGGAACGTAAATGGGCTCATAACTTGTACTCCTACTGTGGTATATGTTTCAGGTCCTGCCCGCATATACATTTTCTTTTCCCGGTTTACACTCATTTCTAAAGCTTCTGCCGCTTCAGCCAACCTTAAAAATGCACTTAAAAGAGACTAAGAGAAGGAATGTGCCATCAGACCTAGATCGTCAGCTAATCCCAGTATTTGCGTTAATCTGTTAAAGATAGTGTCGGTAGTCTGGATCGCTGAGTCACGTATCCTATTCTCCAGGGTCAGGTTAAACAATACGCAGGGAAGCCCATCCCCGTGCCTAATTCCTCGCTTGGAAACAAACTCAGGTGTCAGGTCTGAGTGCACCTAGCATCATCCATAGTCATCTTGATGAGGCGGACAAGTTTTGGGGGAGCTCCAAGGTCACACAGGGCTGCATACAGTTGGGGTCTCTTGATGCTATTGTATACACTCCAAAAGTCAATAAACAGATCATCGCACATATATATATATATATATATATATATATATATATATATATATATATATATATATATATATATCATATATATCATCAGATAAACAAATCGTACAGGTCATCATCCTGTACTCTTGAGACTTTTCCGGTATTATACAGAGGCTAAACATCTGGTCAACTGTAGATCTTTCTCCTCTGCGCCCCACCTGATACCAATCTCTCTCTCAGCAAACGGGAGGAGTTTGCAGTAGATAATGTTTGAGAGGATCTTATAAGCACACTGAAGAAGTGAGATCCCATGGTAACTGGAGCAGTCGAGGATATTACCCTTCTTTTGTAATCGATAAATTATTCCCTTTTTCCACTGATCTGGCATTTTCTCTTCCATCCAGATAGTGAGGATCATGTTTTAGAGGGCTCTCTGGAATTCCTCGCCACCATGCTTGAGAAGCTCAAATGGAATTCCATCATCTCCTGGGGCTGTGTTGTTGTTCAGCCTGTTTTCAAGAACTTCAAGAACATCCTCACAGGTCAGTGCTGTACAGTAAAAAGATTATTGTTCTGGTGTTTTCCTTGACATCAGTCAAACTTTTGATGAGGTATGGCATGAAGGATTGCTTTCCAAGCTCAAAATTTTGCTTCCTTTAGCCTGATACTTGATAATACTTTCTTACATGAAGGACAAACACTTTACTGTAAATTTTGGCAACAAATTTTCCAGAAACTTTTTAAGGAATTAGAACAGAAGTTCCACAAGGCAGTGTACTTGACCATTAATATTCAATATTTTCACAATAGACTTTCCAGAAAACAACCAGATTTTACTTCCAACATTTGCTAGCAATACAGCACTTCTTACATTAAAAAAAACCCTGTGATTGTGCCTTTCATCATACAAAACCGTCTAGATGATATTTATAATTGGGCTATAATATTTATATTTATAATTGGGCTATCTGGTGATAGATAAAAATGAATCATCCAAAAATGTACTCTTTATCTTCACATTAAAACATGGAACATGTCCACAGGTATACTGTAAGATTTGGACATCCAAATGGTTTCAGATACTGCAATATAATAACACAAACCCATTAGCCCATGCACTTATTTTCACCACGAATCCTTTTATCTCACCGCAATGAATTTTGAGGCGGTGTTCAAGAGATTTTCTTAATTAATTTGTATGGTGCCCTACAACTATGTAATGTGCACTGATTTGCTTGATAAAAAAACTGTGCAGATGGCAAATTTCTAATCTGCCTAACTTATATTCTCATTTAAATAAAAAAAATATATATAATATAAGAAATTTGTTTTTATCTGAGTTTTGAGATATGAATCTTTTGGATCTTTTGTTTCTATTACAATTTCATAGTTCATCTTCACTAAGCACAATTTTTCAATGAAATGATAATTTTTGGTGAACTGCTATAGATGCTATCCATTAAATTCTGTCTAATCTACAGTTTGTTAACAATTAAATCTTCATTAACAAATTTGAAATAACTTATAGGAATCATCTTCCTCACCTGGTAGATAAACATTACTCATAGCCATCATAGCTGTCATAATCAGGAGGGCCTTAGATCTGATATTAGATGGACAAAACTCTCCAACATAAACATAGGCTGATGTAAATGTTCCAGTCAAACTGTAACAAATAAATGTAACAAAACATAAAGAAGCAAGTAAATATATTTAAAAAAAAAAAGGATAATGAGTCTAGAAGTTCAGGAACAAGTCTAGAATTATTGGGCCATTCCAAGACTGGTTAATCTATGTTAATTGCATTCATTCATACTTGATTAATGCTACTCTTGCAGCACAATTATTAAAAAATATTTTCTATAAGCAGATGAATTAAATATACTTTATTTAATTTTTTTTTGCATGTTACTTTTTTTCAACTATAGATTCTTTTTTAGCACTATTAATGAGCGAGCCATCATTCATCATATTTTTACCTCCTTTATTTTACCTTATTTTTTTAAATGAAATACTTACATGAATCCATTAAAAAATAGTATAATGCCCAAAGCTGTTGTGTTTGGTGCTAAGCTCCACAGTACAATGATCACCATAGTTGCTATCTGACAACACATCATAACCTGCTTTCTTCCAAAATTATCTGCCAAGAACCCAAAGATCTGAGCTGACACCAGCATACCTAGTAATGAGGATTCCCAATGATTCAATATGGTTAAGAGTTTTCATATGAGATTACCTATTCAATAAGTTTTACCAATATAAAATTGAAAAAATAAAATAAAAATACATTATACACTTAATTTCATATTGGAAACGAATTAAGTAATTAAATTGTATATACTTTTCTTTAATGAAAACCTTGAAAGGTAATTGAAGAATACAATGGCAAAACCACTCATCACGTCAGTTTTTATGGAATATGAACTATTTTGTAATTTTTAAGAACTAACATTATTTGGATTCATATGTGGTGTGAAACTATTTTAAAGCTGGTGTAAAGTCGTTTTATCCATTTATCCATCAATTTTGTTGTTTTCTTAGCTTTTTAAATCTGATTAGTGATTTTTTATCTTGATAATGTATTCAGGAAAATTTATGAGTCATCTATTGTCCTAAGGAGAGTACATAAGGACATTCAAGCCTAAATTAACAGACAAACAAACAAAATTTATGAGCATTTGTTTAAAGAAAAATTCACATTTCATTAAGAATTTAGTGTCTCTATGTTGTAAGAGACATATCTTTAATTTAACTCTCAAGATTATTGGCAGATCTACCAAGATCCATGCGGTTGACAAAATATCTAGGATCTTTATGTCCTTTAGTCTCAACTTTACCCTGAACGGCTAGATTGCAATTCTAGATTTTTATAAGTAGCTGATTGTTTATAAGTAGCTGATTAGATTTCAAAGATTAAAAAAAGTAATTAAAGAAGCTCTCTCTCTCTCTCTCTCTCTCTCTCTCTCTCTCTATATATATATATATATATATATATATATATATATATATATTAACTTTGGTGCAATAAAGAAGAGGAAACAGGAAAACATGGTATAAATAAATAATTAACTGCTAAAATAAAAAGACTACCAATAGTTCTCAAGTCTTTAGGATAATATCATGCTTTAATATAAAATTCCAATCTTATTACCAGTGAAGCACATTGAAGACATCATTCCTCTCATTGTGTAAGACAGTTGAAATTCACATCCAGCTATTGGCATGGCGAAGGCCATACCTTGAAGGTTTAGCACTGCAGCTAAACCAATTATTCCTGATGTTATTACAACATACCATGTGTAAAGACCACTTCCTGTAGAAAATTTGGCAATTAGATAATTAGTTAAACTTTATAAGTATCGGTTTACAAGAGTATTTACAGAATTCTCCTGTAGAAAAGTAAAACATACTGAATGTAAAACTAATAAGAATAAATATGTTTAAACATATATATCTTCTGCATAAAATTATCTATCTACTGTATAGCTACTTGATGTATGTATCTAATTATTTAGTAAAATTATTAAAGCTGACAAAATATATTTAAAGAGTGGAAATGAATAAGTGTACACACAAGAATATATTGAAAGCAAACATGATCCAAAAAATGAGCCTGTTGATCTTGTATACCTACCAATGATAGCTAAATAGAGGCTGAAATATATTAATTACATGAATATAATCCTCTGATTTATTTTATAAGCCTATATATTCAATGCCAATTTTAATACTCATCTACTTTTGCAGATATGCTTGTTATTATTGAATATATAAAGATATAAAAACTATTGAAATTGTTGTTGAAAACATTTTTTTGTTTACGTTAAATATCTGCTTTTTAAAGCAACATAGATAAAAAATAGTCATATTAATTAAATCTTAAACAGCATACAATTATTTAACGTTTTTGTGTATAACATTTTTCTATAAACCCAATAGGAAGCGAACTATCGATTTTTCAAAATTGGTAAAGTTTTGAAAAATTCCAAAAAACATGCATAATTTTTTGTTTTTAATTATCTGTTTTTATAGGAGACGTAACAATTTTTTTAGTTAAATATCAAAGCACACACAATTTACTATAGATTTTATAAGGAACACATTAATCTAAACTTAACAAGTTTAATAGGAATTGCTAAAAAGAAATTAATGTTTAGAAATTCGACAAAAACCTTTTAATTTTATTTTTACTGTTTTCCACTTATTTCAATGAAATTAGTCATTAGTCATCTAAAATTACTGTTTCTTGTGAATTTTAAATAAACTTTATTATAAAACATTTTTTATTAATTAATATTATCAAAATTACATACCTTTGTGTTCTTATAGATTGGTATCATCTAAATACTGTTCGATTTCTTCGCAAAAAAATTATTTTGGACAAATAAATTATTGTATTTGTATTTTTTGTTAATACAATAAAAAAAAACGTTATCATAACATTCTAACTATGCCATAAGTACTGAATGATGGGGCAGAGGACTCTACGTGTCTAAGCCAGTGGCGCTTTTCCGCCGATTAAGTGTATTTTGTATGAAACCGCTTCAAATATTTTAAAAAATAATCAGTGTTTTAGAAAGGCAAATGTATTATCCAGAAGTTTTATTTCAGAATGATTTTCGTTCTTGTTGGCCGTTTATTTACAAACGATGCTTGATTTTCGACTTTAGTTTGAATGACTATAAAAAATCAACTTTACTGGTGATTTTTATTGCCAAGCCTATTATGTTCCAATATTTTTTAATTTTTTATTATTTTATAACTATTCAGCTTTCATAAAAGATCATTTATGACAAAATTAAGCCAAATGCTGAATCTCAAAGACTTCAACCCGCCGTGTTTGGACACCATCTTGAGACAGTGTGACCACAGACCACTTTTTTTGTGCTTATTATCTTCAAGGAAAACCTCCAAACTCTTTGAAAGAGGTTCAAAATGAATTAAAAAAATTCTTCCATCCAAAACTGAAAGGGCATTCTTGTGAAGAAATCGAAATGGGTAAATTTTGAAAGCTTGATAGTTCGCTTCCTGTGGGGTTTAGAAAAAAAATCTTATGTATAAAAATGTCAGATGATTTTAAGCAGTTTAAGATTGAATATAACCATTTTTTTTTATATACGTTGCTCTAAAAATGAGATATTTAACGTCAACCTTAAATTATCTTGATTATCTTCAGAAACAAATGATAATCATTAAATTTAAGGCTATCATTTTTATTTAAAATTATGATGTTAAATTCAGATGATTTGGCCGTGGCGATGAGTAGATTCAGCTAAATAGACAAGCATAATCGGTTGGCAACATGAAATTTATCTAGTTCAATTCTTTTTTGTTTGTTCATGGACATATGTAAAGACATAAAAACTTTTCTGAAATAGGTAGGAAAGTCGTGTGAGCGGACACACCAGATATTTTAAATTGTAATATAGATATATTTATTTTATGACATAGCTGCACATTCATCTTATTTTTTTTCCCCCTTTTATTGAATAGAAAAATAATATTAAAGTTGATAATACGAACGATTAGGCCAATGAGAAGAGTTCAACTACAAAACATTGAATATTCAGATGAAGAAAATATTTCCTCATAAAAACCTTTTAAAAAGCCAAATTTCGATAACGGAAACAAATGTGCAGTTGGCAGCTCTGAACTACATGATCAATAAGATAAGTTCAAAAGCCAGAAGAGACTAGGCAACAGATAAAAAAAAATAAAAATAAATAGAATATATGAAAGTACTATTTGAATCTCTCTCTCTCTCTCTCTCTCTCTCTCTCTCTCTCTCTCTCTCTCTCTCTCTCTCTCTCTCTCTCTCTCTCTCTCTCTCTCTCTCTCTCTCTCTCTCTCTCTCTCTCTCTCTCTCTCTCTCTCTCTCTCTCTCTCTCTCTCTCTCTCTCTCTCTCTCTCTCTCTCTCTATATATATATATATATATATATATATATATATATATATATATCACATAGTATTTTCTTTGTTTATATATATATATATATATATATATATATAATGTGAATACCTGCTGTATCGAGCGCCTCTTCTAAGGGGACCCCAGATTTCTTCTCTACTTGCTGAATTTTATCCATGTGTCTCTTCTGCTGTTAAAAGTTGGGTGTTTACATTGGAGAGAACAGCTTGCCTAATACGAGCTACTGGCTGTTTCTGAATGTATTTATCAATTTTTTCATTTAAATAACTTCTCTTGATGGTCATAAAACAGTTACGTAGAAGTTCGCTGATAGCATCCCTGATTGCAGAAGTTATCTCATTATTTAATAAACCCCACAAAAACATTCGCTTATCATTTTCTACATTATTAAAAATTTTTTATTTCCTTTTCTCTACGTCCCTATCAGCACACAGGAATCGCTTACCGGTGGACCCAGACCTTATTATTATTTTATTTACACCCTTATTGCCTTACAGCAATACGCGTTTTGGTGACCGTAGCCTAATAACTAATATATCTATCACGCTACTCCTGCCATTTAGACTTCAGTGCTTCAACTGAAGTCCATAATTTTAAGAGCTTAGTCCATTATGGATTGCCGCCTCCTCTCTTCGCCTAGGGATTCCAAGTTTAAAGTGTTCCGGTCTCACAGTCGTCATTCACCCGTACATGAACTCTTCGAAGTACAGTTCGTTTTCTTTTTTCATGAGGACGGGGAAATCCCCGTCTGTTATAACAAACAAAACCATTTTCCTCCGTAGCGTGTTCCTAAGTCCTTCAAAGCCAGTGCAGGTCATTACTACGTGTTTGGGAGTTTCCGTAATAAGGAGTCAACGCCCCCATGCCCGTGAGGACTTGAGAAACCCAGTAATCCGAGAGCACCCTTTTTGCCGTTAATCGCGAGTGTACAGTCGGGAAGAACTTTCTTAAGGCGCCCCTTCGGGATTGTCAACCATCGTCGATTCCGTTCTTCAGTGGTGTGCTTTCGGTAATCTGTTTCCGTCTTTTGGGTTTATTTGCAATCCTCAGTCAGAGACACTTCGGAATTCCTGCTGAGCCTTCTCTCTTACAGCCGAATACTGAAGCATCTTCAAGCAGGATAAGAACCAGAGGCACCCCCCCCCCCTGCCAAGTCCTGCACTGCCTCATGTGATACAGGCCTTAGTTCCCCGCAACAGATTCTCTGTATCGTCGCTAATCTACTCTTCTGCTTTTGTGATGGATTACGGTTACTAGGCGGGGATGCGTACCTCAGAATACTCTGCATTACCCCTTTATAGATTCTAATAGTCGCCGGGTTTCTGTGGCCCAGAGAGGATCCTTAATTCGAATGTGCTCATTCAGTGAGATGTTGACCCTGTTAGCGAAAGTGAGGTATTATGTTAAAGTTTCTTACAAATTTCACTCCTATGTAAGTTATCACCTCAGTTGGACGAATTCGTTCCCCTTGGATCAGTAAGGTGATAGGTTGGGCCCTGTCATTTTTTCCTCTAGGAAGTATGTCTTCGCTTTAGCAGCAGCCATCTTCAGCTTTTTACTCCCACAGCATTGTGTCTCTACGATGGCCTTTATCTTGAGACCGGCTCTGCTGTTGGAGTCCACAACTGCAGCCAAATCGTCCACGGAGGCAGTAGCTGGGATTCATTCTTCTCCCAAGACACCCAGCAACTCATCAAAAAACCAGTTTCCATAGAGCTCGACCAAGGACTGATTCCTCTCTACGGAGGCTTTCAGCTCGTTAGAGCTTCCTTGAACCTTCACCATCCTGTCCTATAGGTAGCTCCTTACAAGGCAATACAAGTTGCTGGGGGTATCGTATCTCTGCAATTGCTGAAGCACAAGCGACCACCGCTGTCGAAGGCAGAGGAGATGTCAAAGAGCAGCACCATGACATATCGCTCCTCCCTTTGTTCAACATCCGCGCGTACTCTCATCACTGAATCAGCGGTTCCCCTACTCTTCATGGAATCATACTGCCGTAAATGGCTCGCTCTCGCTAGAATATGATCTTAGACTTACTAACATAAGGTTCTCCAGGACTTCACTCATAACGGGAAGGAGGCATACAGGTATGTATGACTTAGGGGCTACCAATTTCTGCTCCCTACCCAATAGATTATTCTCAGATTGGCAATCTTCCACGAGTTCGGAAAGTAACAACTCTACATACAATCATTTTAAATTTTCAGGAGCTGGTCTTCTATGTACCGAATACTGTTTTTCAAGAACGTTGCATCCATTGCGCCAAGTCCTGGAGCACGTCTAGTTCTTTGTCTATCCGCAGCAATACGAAGGTCATTTCTGTCCCATGGTGAGTACAAGTCCGTGCCAGGCAAATACATCGTAGTGCTTCTCACAAAGTTATCCTCTTCATCGTCCTAAGATGGATCATCCCTGGGGTATGTTGTATGAATGAAAAAAATTGGCTGCCTCCTCAAGTGAGTTTGCCTGGAATCCTCCATGCTTGATAGCTGCCAATGTCTGTTATGGAGTCAACTTGCCCATTGTAACCCTGTAAAGGATGTCCCAGGGGTTCTTCGCAGATTCAGTTACAATGAATTCATCCCAGAACTGCCGTTTTTGTGTGCGCATCTCGTTTCGATATACCTTGGGCTTAGATTTGTATTCGATATGAAGTGTAGTGCGCCTCTCGTCGCATCCACACTTTTGGTACGACCGCCGAGCTTTGCAGAGGTCTCTATTCATGGTGGTCAAAGCCTTGACACTCTGTAGCCCAGGTCATCTCTTCGTTCGGAGACTACCTCATCCCATTCATCGTCGGCAATTTCTCTCACCAACATGCACTGGAAGGCCCTTCAGTCTTTCCTCCGGGTTATATAATCCTTGTCAAGGCCGGCAGAACATCTTGTCTCCTGTATCAAGCTAAATGCTAGTTAGTACTTTGTCATGGATTACGGTACCAGGCGGAGATGCGTATCTCAGAATACCCTGCATTACTCCTTTATAGATTGTAGTAGTCGCCGAGTTTCTGAGGCTCCAGTGAGTATCCTTACTACTTTGTGGTCGGAACTAGTTTCAGATCAGAGGTTCCAATCGTTAATATGCCTTACTATCGTTGTGGAAGCCAGCGTTACATCAATCCAGTTCTCACCCCTCGACCCAGAGAAAGTGGGAGAATCAGATGGATCGTGTACGACTATCATAAACTTCTTGCAGTAAACTCACCAAGTTTAACGCCACTTCTGGACCCAGACCTATAGTTTTCTGCCAGCCTCTTCGATGCGAAGAAAGAAATTTATCGTATGTCTCGGTCCTAATACACTAAGGTCGATGGTGTAAGAACCTATCTCTCCCACTCACAAAATATTTTATTGATCACTTTTTCTTAAAAACAGAACAAGCGAAGGTAGACGTAGAAAAATCGTAGGTCATATACAATTACACTTGCTGCAGTCTGTTCTATGTTTTCCCTTGTCCCTCAGTATAAAACTTTTCATTCCGAAAATTCACAACTCCGCCGAAATGTGCCCCCTTCAAATATTCAAATCCCCACTAAAATATACCTCAAACATTTTGATTGCTCAACTTGCGCCATTAAACTCCCTTCTGGGAATCCCTGAATGCATCCTGTTAAACTAATATGGATAGACTGCGCCTTGATTTTATCATGATTTCTCACGATCGGGTAACTGACAATCCTCGCACAGTGGGGCAGAACGCCTTAAACCTGGCTTAAATCCAAAAATTCGGATTTTGCATTGTATGAAAAAAATTGCAATTAATTTTCTAATTAATTTAATTAATTAATAACGTTAAATATTGAAGTACAAATTCCCCAAACGTTAAAGAATGTATAGCTAGTCCTGTTTTAAATATTATTACAAGGAAATATATACAGATATCAACAGAAAAATTAATTTTTTCAAAAACGAAAAGAAATTGCTCAAAATGTCTCCCTTTTGCCTTGACGCAGGCATTTAATCTCCGTGGCCAGTCATCAATAGTAGCACAAAGCACTTCTTGAGGATACTGTTTGGACCAGAGATTGTTTGAAGCTTTCTAAGTTAGGATGTGCTGTGTGGCGTGCCATCCTCTCCAGTTTGGACCAAAGCCGTTAATTTAGTGGGTTGAGATCAGGGCTTTCTGAGGGCCAATTCGAGGCAGATGAAATCTTGAATGTTCTTTTGCAGCCACTGCTAAGTTGAACTGGCCTTGTGAGCTGGAGCGGAATCCTACTGGAAAACCCAATGACTTCCAGCAAACAGAGTATCATTTAGAAGCTTGAACACAGGTTCCACAATATCGTCCTGATAGTTTTTAGCTGCTGTTATAATTACTTTTTCACAAAAATGGAGCTTTGTGGTGCTATCAAAGCAAACTCACTACCAAATCATTACTCAGGAAGGGTTATTACCTCTTTCCACTCTTCCAATGACTTCCTGGGCTTCTTTAGAGCTATGTGCGTACACACGATCATTTCCTGATTAAATTCTTCATCAATTGTAAAAATTTTCTCATCACTAAATACAATTTTTGTATGAAGACCATCGGTGTAACGGCCAAGGAGCACTTTGCATCTATCAAATCTAATTTTTTTTAGGGAAGTGGTTAGCTTTTGTCCTGTCATATCGAAATGCACTCAAGCATTAAGGCACTTTTTACTATGCGAGACATTGATCTGACAGAGATTCCCATTTTCCGATACATGATTTGTTGTTTTCGAATGGGATTTCTTCTGATTCGAGCAGCCACTGCTCTCTCTGCATTTGCTGTTCTCACAGTTCGGAGACAGTCCGGTAGAGGTATGTCACATACAGATACGATCTCAATATATCTATTTATAGTGCGGTACACGAACGTGCGGCTGATTTCCAAAGGTTTCAAAGTGTTCAAAATCTCTGACCGACATTTCATGATGTCATGAAGCAATGCTCGCACCAGATTTTAATATGTGATATAATAACTTTAGAGCCTGTTAAAATTTTCCTGGATTGGTAATGCTGAATCAGAGGCCCTCAAAAGATCTGACAGAGATAAAAGTTTATTTACAAGCTTTGTGTATTCTCTTGTGTGATTTTTACAACTGACATTGTTTGATATCAAACTAGAATGATCAAATAAAATGTTGATATTGCAGAGAAGACAATGAAAACAGTAGTTATAAACATTTCTCATATATTGTAAATAAAATTTAATGGAATCATCAATTAAAATATTTTTTATAAATTTCTTAGATAAGGAAATTA